CTACATAGGGAATTAGCTTCGTTCGAGTTCGTAAATTCGGAAGGGTGGGGAGCGCTGGGTGCTGCAACCTGACACGCATTTTCATACATAATATTTTTGGTTTCTAATACATACCTATAGAGTAATAGATATTGGTATTAAGTGTTGATTCCTGCATATAACTCAATTTTTTTAGTTTTGATACTTGTACCCCTTTGCTTTTCACCCCCAAATATATATTTTTTTAATCTGAATTATTTTATGTTCTACTATATAAATAAAATTACAGCAGTCATTAAATTACTATATTTGAAAAAAAAAACTTCCTTTCCTCACCTCCATACAAAAATCCCCAGGGTGCGCCGCTCGCTAGTGTAACCTCAAATAACGGCGCTCGTTACTTCTGTTGAGTGTAGCAAGAAAACTCCAGCAGTAATCAATAATGATAAATGAAATACACAAAAATAAATGGTCTGTTTGTTCACATTATTTTTATAATACTTCTCTGAATTTGTTCACGTCCAATATTAGCGTATTGGCGTTCAATGCTTGCATAATCTCTTATATGTGTAACCTGCCACTTTTAACTATGTCCTATCACCATGTATACCACCTTCGTCGTCGCTTCCCCCTGAATAATGGTCGCTAATTAGACAACTGACCGGAACTTGTTGATGTGCTCTAGCGATGAAAAACTGAAAAATTAAAATTCATAGTTAGACCAGTTGGTAGAGCTTCGGCGTGTGCCAAACTTTGATAACCCGGAAATAACTACATAGGTCTACTTTAAATGATGAGTACAATAACAGGCTAGTTTGCTGACAAAGTATTTTATCAGGAAAAAAGTTATTAACAATTTAATCGTGAACAATTTTTTTGTTAGTAGTTTTCTTTAAATAACTCAGCGGGATGACTTTGTACGAAAAAATGCTTAGGACATGATTTTGTTCGTAAAAAAAATAGCTACAAAATGGCGGTGGTCCGATTACGAAATTTGCAATAACAAAGCCGTGAGATTGAAAAAACGGTATAAAACGTCAATTTTTTAAAGTTGCTGTAAAAATGTCAATTATAAACAAAAAGTGATAAAACTTTCGAAAACTATAGTTCAATATATATACAATAATGACGCTAAAGCCGAAAATCAGGAGAGCAAAACTTTTTGTTCTATAAGGTGTTATACATTCATCGGCATCTGAAACTCGAAACTTTGCCAAATTTGTTCGAAGCTTTGCTGACACTTGAAATTTGGTACACACATAGTGTAAATATGCAGAAACCAAAAGCAATTTGCAAAATTCAAGTATCTTCATTTTTGCAGTTTTGGTAAGGTTTTATACGTCACCCTAGTTTTATACGTCACCGTTTTTTTAATTTTTGGACGTATATTTATGTATATTTATAAAATATTCCATTACGGTAGATTAGCCAGCATAATTACCTACAATTTAAAAAAATATATATTTTCATCGTTTAGATCCTAAGCTACTTAACATTTTGCGCCTGTTAGCCGTAGTCGTACATTATTCAACATATTAACATAAAACAAAATCGTACGTGTGGGGTAAACCTTTAACTTTAAGTAAACAATTGTTTAAATTTACTGTTGCATATTTCTAATAGTATACAAGCGCCGAAGAGCGGAGCTCGCGCTCGAAAATGAAAAGTTAAAGGTTTACCCCACACGTACGATTTTGTTTTATGTTAATATGTTGAATAATGTACGACTACGGCTAACAGGCGCAAAATGTTAAGTAGCTTAGGATCTAAACGATGAAAATATATATTTTTTTAAATTGTAGGTAATTATGCTGGCTAATCTACCGTAATGGAATATTTTATAAATATACATAAATATACGTCCAAAAATTAAAAAAACGGTGACGTATAAAACTAGGGTGACGTATAAAACCTTACCAAAACTGCAAAAATGAAGATACTTGAATTTTGCAAA